ACTACAAAACAATAATATAATAAAACATTTCGTTTCTATTTTATTATAAATTTTGACCAAAGTTCCATTTTGGTCCAAACCGGACTAATCCAACACTCTTGGACACCATTGTTTTTAGGTTGTTTATGAGAAACGTGGGAAATATGTCAAACAACTGGAAGGGAGAAGCAAGATGAAAAATGACAACGACATTGAAAAGATAAAATAAAACTTTATTAGAGGAGTCGAAGAAGATACTGCTTATTGTAGTGAACATCACATTCTCATGTTATTTTGATGGTGTTAGAAAGGGATAGCAAGCTTACTACGTTTATGGTTTTAGGAGGTAAGACAGGGAAATTGTTCTTTGGTTATTTAGATTTAGACCCATGTAACGTTTAGTAAGTATCATTATTTGATAGGTTATGTGTGAGGACTGTGGATAGTATAAACAAATCGACTTTGGATTGATTCACTCCATTACCAAACCACACAAAAAATGATAAATCATGTGGATACTTATAATAAGGCAACTACAAAAATCAATTGTCAAAGTGATGAATTATATTTGCTCCTCTTGGAAAAGAAAACGTTCAATTACTCTTCTCATATATTTTATAGTATCAGACTTTTTAAAATAAGAAACAATAACAGAAATTTCTAAAAAAAAAAAAAAATGCAAAGAAATCTTAACACAACAAATGTATCTTAAAATTATTTACACAGCAATTCTAAGATTTCTAAAGCTAGCCACATGGTATGGTTTTCAAATCCAAAAAAGTTAAAATGCATATATATATCTCATCTCTTGATTCTCCTTGAGTATTATTAATTAATTTAATCGGTTATGGATTAATTAATTTAAGTACATTGTTTCCTCCGGCGACTTTGCAGCTCACTCCTCCTATCCAGTATGGCTCTTGTCGTCCTTGTTGATTCAGGTTTTCGACAATATATTTGTATTCGGAAAAGGATCGAAAATTCCCGTTAATTGATGCTAACTCGGAATAGGTTACGGCAAATATATTGTAAGTGACAGAAGAAGAGCTATGTATCGAGCTCAGAAGATGTGAGGTCGCTGTATTCTAGGTCATGGGAATCGAGGCCGGTGAATGCGTATCTGAGGTCGGTGGTTTCAAGACTGGAAGTCGAGGTCGTTGAATCGGAGATCGAGGCTGGATGCTGAGGGTATTTGAGGTCGGATTGTTTGTATGGAAAGCTATGTTATTAATCAATCGAGCTTGATTAAGAGATTAATTCTTTTTGATGTCAGGGAATGATTGTTTTTAGCTCTCAAATTCTTTTATGCTTGTCTTAGAATCGAAAAAAAATATCTCTTCTACTTATGGGATGGGGCACCCTATTTATACTAAAAATAGAATGAGTAAGGTACTAGGTTTTCCTCGGGATCGGCGGCGACGTCATCATCTTCAGAAGATGACTGGGCCCCTTCTCGGGCCCGAGCCGCTGAGCACTAAAACGAGCTCGGTGGGCTTCTACCTTCTGGGCCGAACTCGTCGGGCTTCGGTCCGCTGGGCCTCTTCGGAAATGGGCTTCTAGAGTGACTACTGTTGAAGCCCATGCCCAACAGTAGCCCCCTCAGTCGGCGAGTAGGCGGGCTTCGGGCTTGCCGATGTGGCTCTGAGGCCCGTGATACATTCGGCCCACCCCTATCTCGTTTCTGATTGGTTGATGCGAAGCGACGTGCGAGCTTCTAGACGACTCTTCGTCTGCCCGACTTCGGTCTATAAAAAGGGGCCCTTCCCTACTTCATTTCTTACTTTGCTTCTCAGATTTTCTTAG